AACCAATATCTAGAGTTAACAGTTTATAAGAAACGTTAGTAGGTTATAACAAAACGTAACAGCCAGTCATTCATTTCTAACATTAATATGTTACATTTCATAGATCTAGGCATATAGTTCACAATGCACCAACATTAATCTGTAACATTAATCTATCTAAATTAAAAAATTTAACGTCAACTTACTTCTTTTTGGATTTCTTTAATTCATGTTTTGAACTTGGAATTTTCTTTTTTCTTGGTAACCCCTTTTGCATGCCCAACAGGGTCTTGGTGGCTTCATCAGTGTTGTCACTCCCTGATGATGACGCATGGGTGGACGAAGACTTGGGAGGAGGAGGGGGATGAGAGAGCAGAGGGTTCATGGTCGGTCTTAGACGACAAAGGGGGGTCTTTAAAATCCTTAGAAGGTGAGGGGGAATCTTTACCAGTCGACTTTAACGGTGGTTGAAGGTGAGTCTTATCGCTCGTCGTTCGTCGGCGCAGGTTCCTGCTCTTGCAGCGGCGAAGGAGGATGGTGAACAACTTCGAATTCATCGTCTTTTCTTAATGAAGTTGGGGGATCTGGGTTCGCCGTCAATTTTTTTGGCCATTTTCTGCCGATTGTGAAAAAACCCTAGAGTGGAGATTTAGGGATTTCCCAGCTACTATTAATCATAGAGAGAGAGAGAGAGAGACAGAGTGTGGGAGGGAGAGAGAGGGGGAGAGAGAGAGAGAGAGAGAGAGAGAGAGAGAGAGAGAGAGAGAGAGAGACAGAGTGGAGAGAGAGAGAGAGAGAGAGAGAGAGAGAGAGAGAGAGAGAGAGAGACTTGATTTGAGTTAGAGAGTGGGCGGACGCGGTTACCAAAATCGGGGCACTGTAGCAGTAACCGGTTAGGGGTAGAATAGAGTTTTAAAAAAATTCTCTCAAGTTGCTAAGTTGGCGAGGCTGAAACAAAATTTTACAACATATTTTGGGTTTATACATATCTAATCTAATCTAATACTATTATAAAAGTGGGTTGGGATGTTAAAACATTTCTTCCCAAAGTGCCCTCAAATTTATGTTAAAACATATACATACATAACATAACACATACATAAAACATTTCTTCCCAAAGTGCCCTCAAATTTATGTTAAAACATATACATACATAACATAACACATACATAAAACATACAAATTTATGTTAAAACACATACATACAAAACATAACACATACATAATAAAACATAATGATAATTATTATTTATAGGTAACACTTAATGACGGTTTCATAATGATAATTTTTTTGCAACGGTTTCATAATGATAATTTTTTTGCAGTAACGCTTGCCGAATTAATGTCATCATGTTTCAATTAAACCCCCATTTCATGTGTAACCACTTTCATATGTAATAAATGTCATCAATTACAATTGATGTCATAATATAGTGCAACATTAATGTCATAATAAAGTGGACATTTGATACATGCCTATGTTTCAATATTTTGCAGTAACCGTTGTTAGACACAAGAGATTTTATCAGTAACACTTAGGGGGGGTTTTTCATTGGTGTAATTTTGGGACAGTGAGTCCACCAAAAATGTTTTTCTGGCCCTCTTGATTCTTTCCATGAACAAGAGGTCCACTTTTATTTCGGAGTCCCCTTTCGATAAACGAAAGAACTCCATTCTTCTTCTCTTTGGTCAAGCCCTCTCACGGCTATAACCGAAGTTGAAACTTCACTTCGATAAACGAAGAACCCATTTTCAGTTTAGATAACCAAGCCTGATGTCATAATATAGTGCAACATTAATGTCATAATAAAGTGGACATTTGATACATGCCTATGTTTCAATTTTTTGCAGTAACCGTTGTTAGACACAAGATATTTTATCAGTTACACTTAGCAATTATATAATTTTTTTATAGAAACTATAGAGTTATAGAGCTATATAATTTATTTACCTAAATAACATTATCTATAAAATTTATGAGAAGTAAGAGTTAAAATTAATGAATAATTTAATTTAATAAGTTTCAACTATATTTAGTAAGAGTTATATAAAAAACCGTTTTATTAAATTAAATTGTTCATTAATTTTAACTCTTACTTCTCATAAATTTTAGGCTTAGTAATACAAACAGTGAAAGCAGTAAATTTTAGGCTTAGTCAATTACCAAAATTTCTTACCTAATGAAACACTCTTCTTAAATTAAAATTGATTCCAAATCTTTAAGTAAATATCCATTTTAATTAGATTTATTTTGATTCCAAATCTTTAAGTTAATTATTACTAAAAACAACAACTTTATTCTGATTAGGTCAATTACCAAAATTTCTTACCTAATGATGTCTTATTTCTTAAATTAAAATTGATTCCAAATCCGCACACAAATAAGGAAATACAATAAGGTTCAATTTTGGCAAACATTATTTGGAGCACATGGTCTGTCAATCCACTGATTGATTATTATGTGATGTTATTCATGAATCCCCCACAGGTTCTGATCGCTCTCCTTTTTTTTCCTCATGAATTTTGATTTTCCTATTTTTTTATGATTTTAATTTGAAAATTTTATGGCATTGTTGTTACGGATTTATCTTTAATGGTGAAATGCTATGTTTTTTATATATAAGTAAGGATAAGTCTGCGCTTAACCTGCGCTGCCGGTTAGTTCTTAACCGCTAAAAAGAACACCCGTTCATATATTCAACATTGTGGCAGGTTGTTATTAATAACACCAAAATCCAGGCCTTACACGTATGAGAAATTTCATCCTGAATCCTAAGAAAGGGTATGCCGACGCCTAACACACGTCGCCGGTTTAGTCTTTTGTCGTAGAAAAAGACACCAGAATACCAGTCTGGGGTATTTTATCCCGAAACCTAAGTAGGGATAAAGTCGCTATGTTTTTTATATAGGTCCTGCATTTGTTCTTTATTTTTAACTGTCATTTTAAAAGATGAAATTTTTTTTATATAAAAAGTTATTACTACATAATTCACTTATAAGTCAAGTCTTACCAAATAAGAATAAATAGGGAGAGCAAAACGTTTTAGGATTTGATAAACCATGCTATAATTGACAAATTATTTTTTTATTTATGATAATTATGTTACTTAATAATTATTTGGCAAGTCATTATTAGTATGTAATTCGGTTATAATTCAAATCTTACCAAATAAAAATAAATAAGGTCAGCAAAAACGTTTTAATCTAATACTACTATAAAAGTGGATTGGGATGTTAAAACATTTCTTCCCAAAATGCCCTCCAAAACTCATACACTATGTATTCGACATCATAGCACAAAGTCTAAGGGAGTTCATTCCCTTAGCGCAACGTTACATGCGGAATGGATTTAGACAATCTACATGCTAGCCCGACTCAAACGGTAGTCAGTAAAGGCTAATCAAACCCGTTGAAGGCTGGGGGTTAGCCATGGGATGTTAAAACATTTCTTCCCAAAATGCCCTCCAAAACTCATACATGCACACATATAAAACACATATATACATACATAAACACATATACACACATTATTATCATCATTATTCATATTTTTTCCAATAATTAATTATTGATTATTGACAACAACATGCAATCCAAAAAACTGCTGCGTAACCGTTTAGCTTGTATGTAATAATAACTAATTAAGAGGTAAACCTCTTCTTCATAACCTCAAGTCAATGAACCTCCCGCTCACGTCTTGAAGATAGTCTCCTTTTGAAATCAAACTACGAACTTCATCTTGATGAGACACTCATCATTCCATTATCGTCTTCGACACAGATGATAAGACACCTCGAGGATTTGACTTAAGATTGGATCGGTACAAGGAAGGGGGAAGAATAGCTCAGAAAAGATCAAGGGCCTTCTCATGCAACAATATTTATTAGATTAGTTTGTTTTTCTTCCCATTCTAGCCATGAGCATTTAGCGATCAAAATTTTATTCTCATTCCGACCCTGATATGGTATCAAGATTAATTAATGCTTTGTTATTTTTTCTTTTGCTTTGTAGGTGGTTCACATGTGGAAAGTTTAAAAAATCTTAGATTCCTTCAATTGCAAATGGATTCTGAAGTTCTTTAGTCTCATTCACAAGAAAATTTAAGGTTAGAAAATGTTTTTCCTTCTTGTGGTAATTTGCACGAACCTCTTTTACATTTTGCTCACTATTATTTATTTGTTTTATTAGATAAACTACATCGTTCTACTAGATTTATGATGAGTGATTTTTGTGAATTAAATTCATGTGTATCGTCTATAAATCTAGCTTAGCAGTATGAAGTTCTATATTCTTCTTTAAAAAATTATGGAGTTTTAAAAGATATAGCGATTATCAAAGGGCTTGCATATGGTTAATTTTACAGTAAAGGATGTTTGCGCAATTCAAGTTTTTATTGTTGAAAAAGAATATATCTCATTAATTTATTTTCAAAATTAACATTACAACATAAGATCAAGTATAGGGTTTTATGTTAGGGAATCACGTTGTGTATGATATTATACACATATTTTCATAAAGAATATTAGCTATATTAAATTTAAAAAAGTTTATATTTCTTTGCTTAGAATCTCTTTTGTTAGAAGAAAAGGAAAGAATTCTTAAAATATAGAGAGTATTTTATATTATATATAATATTTTTATTATTGTAATGATATTATTTATCTAGGAGTTTTGCAAATTATAAGTGGTTACTAGAGACAGAATGTAGAAAAATGGTGTACAGATATTTTAATTAAAATTTATTATTATCTCGATGAAATCTAACCTTGACTTTAGTAGACTTTAATCCATATAATTTTAATATGCTCTATTCTATAGGACCAAACTTTAAATTCTAGACTAATATTTCAAGCAAACATAAACCTCTTATTTTGTACCAATATGAGGTTCTTTGTGAAAATACAAGTTGATTTATATGACTTCAAAAGAACGCGCAATCGACACTAAAACTTATTTATTCTATATATTTTATGTAAGAGACTCTCATTAATTGAATAATTAATTGAAATTTATTNAGAAATCCCGCCACCCACCAATCTCGCCGGCGACGATGGGGAAGAAAGGGGACATCGAGGCCGGCAACAATGGCGCTCTCTACCCCAACATGAGCGAGAGCCCTCAGCTCCGATGGGCTTTCATCCGCAAAGTTTACGCCATTGTCACGTGCCAAGTTCTTCTCACCGTCGCCGTCGCCGCCACCGTCGTCTTCGTGAAACCTATCCCTGATTTTCTGACGTCGAAGACCCCCTTGGCTTGGACGGTGCTTATCTTGATTGCAATCTCTCCGCTGATCAGTAAAAATCTAATCTTGAAAAGATTTGGTGTTCTATTTTTGGTGATTATGATTCTAGGGCCATTTCTTTATTCTGATTTTTTTCCCTGGAGGTGAATTACAAGGATCTCTCTTCATATATATCTAGTTTTTCAAGAATCCCTTCACGTTATCTATTATAATTGTTAAAATTCTTAGTTTTTAACATTTTTTGCTTAAATTTGTGAGGCATGCGAGTGGCATAAATTTAAAGTAAACTACTATCCTTGTTTTTTCTTAGGGTTTTTTCATGTAAATCACCTTTAAAATAGGGTAATTCTACTAAAACCACCTTCCAAGTCCAATGTATACAGAAACAATATTTAAAAGAGATTATGAGTGCAATCAGCCGCCTTGACCTATTCTTGGATGAATTTTTGAGTAAAATTCTCGAAGTACTCTTGAAAACCACACGTGCTAGACACATGACATGCCTTCTTAGCCAAGTGTCTGGCATGTGTCTTTTAAGGTTGTTTTGAGCACTTCAGTTAAAATTTTATAAGAAAATCGGTTAAGATGGTTGATTGCAACCACAAACCTCTTTAAAGGCGTTTTATGTATAAATTGAACTTTGAAGGTGGTTTTCGTACATTTGACCTATTTTAAAGGCCGTTTATATGGAAAACCCCTTTTATTTAATATATTCTATTATTTTCTTCATAGATTATGGGAGTTACATTGTCACACAGATGTACGCATTTACGATAGATGAGGTTTTTTATTTTGTAATTCTACTAAAACCACCTTCCAAGTCCAATGTATACAGAAACAATATTTAAAAGAGATTATGAGTGCATTCAACCGCCTTGACCTATTCTTGGATGAAATTTTGAGTAAAATTCTCAAAATACCCTTGAAAACCACACGTGCTAGACACATGGCATGCCTTCTTAGCCAAGTGTCTGGCATGTGTCTTTTAAGGTTGTTTTGAGCACTTCAGTTAAAATTTCATAAGAAAATCGGTTAAGATGGTTGATTGCAACCACAAACCTCTTTAAAGGCGTTTTATGTATAAATTGAACTTTGAAGGTGGTTTTCGTACATTTGACCTATTTTAAAGGCTGTTTATATGAAAAACCCCTTTTATTTAATATATTCTATTATTTTCTTCATAGATTATGAGAGTTACATTGTCACACAGATGTACGCATTTACGATAGATGAGGTTTTTTATTTTTGTTAATTTTGTTAACTCATATAAATGAGGATTTTTTGTTGAACTTCTAATATGTTAGGGTTTCTTGAAAATTTGAGTATAGATAAAAGGGATTCCTTGTAATTTACCCTTCATTTTTCAAACTCACTCACTGCCAAAACCATTCATACACCCAAAACATCCATGCTGAAATACTTTTAAAACAAATTTGCATTAATTTGTTAGCTTGGTAACATGCTATAAATCGATCTAAAGTGCTATAACATTTGACATTTTTAAAATGTTATAATGTTAGTTGGACTGTTATAATTAAGGGGTCAAAAAACAATCTGGTTTATTAAAAGTAAATCATGTTGGATGTTCTGGGTGTATGAATGATTTTTGAAGTGTGCGGTTTAAAAATAATTTAGGGTAATAGAATGGGTTTAAAATAAAACACCCTTTACTTTATCGGAAATTTGAGAATGTTTTTCTTTTTTGTGTTGCAGCTCTGATACCTATGATGTTCTTGCGAGAAAAGCATCCTTGGAATTTGATTTTGCTCATATTGTTTACAGTCTGCATCAGTTTTGCAATCGGGCTCTCTTGCTCTACGAAGAGTGGTAAGCGATTCTTTTCTATTCTCTGTTTTCTAATGAAGGAAGCTTAATTTACTTGGAGTTTTTCTTTCTGGTTATTAAATGATTCTAGTCTTCGTTATGATACATGCGAAAATAGGTAAGTTGGAAAAGATAACGATGGATAGAGCTATGCTCTTGAGTTTAGTGGCTTTTTGAATTTTCCTATAATCGTTCGAAACGTTATGAAAACTATTTAAAAGAAATAAGAACTATGAAAATGCGGATGACATGTATACATTTAAAAATAGTTCTTATTGCTTTTGAAAAAGATGAATTTATCATTGTGTTTAGGATACAGGAGGAATGCCAATTTGTCGTGGTATCTTGAGTTTGGTAACTTTTATGCGTTGTTGCTATCATTATGTTGTATTTCAAATACAAAGTTAATTGTAGTTTCTAATCTTAGTTTTGGAATAATAATTTGAAGAAAAATAGTCTAGGGGGGATAATGTTGTTAAATTTTGTTTATTGTGATGGAACCTTAATTCTATAGTCTTAGTTGTGACTATTAATTTGGGCTTTTCCCCCATAAAAACCACATTAAAATAGGTTCATTTTATACAAACCATCTTTGATTTTCAATTTATACATAAACCACTTTTAAAGGATTTTTTTGTTGCAATCAACCACTTGAAATTTTTCATTTGATTTTTTTATAACTGATCACACCTAACCTCCATTAACGATCATCTCTCGAATATACCTAGTATTTGACAACTAATTATTACATCCAAACCGAGGAGAGATTTAGAAGTGACCAGAAGTTGATTGCAACAAAAAACTATTTAAATGTGGTTTACATATAAATTAAAAATCAAAGACGATTTCTATAGAATCACCCTATTTTAAGGTGGTTTCTAGGGAAAACCCCAATTTGTTCTTGTAATAGCCATTATGAAGTACAAGAAGGACATTCCTAGTTCTCAATGCCAAGATCATGTTCATGTTGGAGGATGGTAACCGCTAATAAATAGTAGAAGGATTTTTTTAACTATTTCTAGATCCATCAAATATAAGAAACACAAATGATGAAGGGACAATAAACTAGGATGAGGAAGGATACAATGCCAGATTAACTCTCCAATAAGTTTCCGATTCACCTGAAGGATAATTCAGAAGCTTTAAGTTCAAACAACTGGAATTAACTATTTTCCAAAAATACTCTAATGAAACATCCTTTAATGTTCTTTTCCTTGTTGAATGTCTAACTGTGGCATGGTTTTTTTTCTCAGACTGTTCAGAGTTTTTAGAAGAAACTAACTATTCATAGCCCTTGAGTGACCTAGGTCTGAGTTAGGAATGGAGTTTGCAAATTCAAATGAGTTCTAGGCATTTAATATCATTTACAAAAAAGTGAAGGAAGATACGAAGTAGATGAATTTGGAATGTTATGGCTCTTGGAACGTGGTGTTGGAAAGAATAACTAGTAGCTTTGTTAGGGTAAATACAAAAGCTAGTAGCTTTGTTAGGGTAAATATTATAATAAGGTAGCTAGATGAATCCAAGTCTTTTTTTTTGTCTTGTTTGTTGCATATAAGCTCAGATCATATGGTTGAAGTTGTTAGATTATTATAATCCTCAACTCTCACCACTATTTTGGAGTTTTTTCGGAGTTTTGATGTAATGATCAGAATCTTTAAGATGGTATCAGAGCAATCCTTATTCGAATATTGCTAGCCACGAATTTAAAGCGGATTTAAAAAAAAAAGTTGATACCGCTACGTAAGTCGAGGTTTCTATCCATAAAAAGGGCTCTCAACCTAAGGAGGCATGTTAGAGTATAAAAATATAATTCTCAATTCTCACCATGACTTTGGAGTTTTGATGTAATTGTTGGAGATTTTAGGACAAACCTGGTTGCAGAGCTAGAGCTGGGGGAAAGGGGGGATATTATATATGTTGGTAGTGTGAGACTGAATGGTTATGTGTTGTCCCAGTTAGTGTGCATATTACTGACTATATTTTGATGAATGTAGTACCCTGCTTGCTATATTTTGATGAATGTAATCTGAACCCGACATTTGAGACTTGCCCACACTCCTCGAATAAAAGTAAAAATAAAATACTTACGGTAGACCACTTTTGTGCGCCTCTTGGTCTTCAAAGAACAAAGTAAATTGGCTGGCTTTGTACATGCCGAGTGTAAATTGTAACTCAGAAGCGATTATGCGACCCCTCTCGAAGACTAATACTCTAGCTATATAAAACTCACCACACATCCCATTTTCACACAGGAATCTTTCATATTAACAAATTTCCATATCCGAACTCTTAAGAATCCAATCTAGATTACTACCATAAATGGCCTCCAAGCAAATGGATATCAAACATATCTTCACTCGTTTTGACACGGACGGTGACGGCAAAATATCACCCACTGAACTCTGACGCCTTATGAGAACCATCAGTCACAAGCTGAGCCTCGACGATGCTGAAGCTACAATCAAGTCTACTGACTTGAACTGCGATGGAGTTCTAGATATAGATGAATTAACTTGCTTTATCAACACAAATGAGAATGAAAATGAGTTGAGAGAGGCATTTGAGACGTAGGTAGCGAAGGGCGAGCGATGCATTACGACTGCAAGCTTGAAGCGGATGCTGAGCCGGTTAGGCACGTCAAAGGGAGTGGAGGAGTGTTTTGAAATTACTTGTAGGTTTGATGTGGATGGGGATGGAGTGGTTAGTTTTGATGAGTTTAAGGCCAAGACGGGATGAGCTTTTGATGGTTTAATTCCTTGTTGAATTTGGAAACAAAGGTATATAGCTTGTTGTACGTGTTGTTTTCCAACGAGGAATACCTGTCTTATTATTGTTTAGAGTTCCCTCCTTTGAGTAAAGGGTTTATTGCGGATAGACCCCCTTACTAATATTGCCTAGTTGAGGATGGACCCCCTGCAGTTCTACTATTGCGGATTGTATCTGTATTATTAAGATGAATAATATGTGATTTGTCTCTAGCTTGCATCCATTTGGTATGTGGGCATACATTTGTTCTTTTGTTTCATTGAAGTCAAAGCTATGACATCGTTTACTATTGATCAGGCATAGATAAAAACTTAGTTCAGTAACAGACTGTCCCTAATTCTAGCTGTTATTTTCGAGCAGGGGAAGTGATACTAGAAGCTGCAGGCTTGACAGCAGTTGTCGTCGTAGGTCTCACTATCTACACATTCTGGGCGGCAAAGAGAGGATGCGACTTCAGCTTCCTCGGCCCCTTCCTCTTTACTGCCGTTCTCGTCATGCTCGTCTACTGCCTCCTCCAGGTGATTGAACTTTCCATTCTGCTTTCACCCATTCTTGGCTAATAGCACTCAACTTCTTTATAGTTTTAAAACTTTATATACTCTAGTACCTTCTGTCATGTAAATGTGAGAATATTTTCATTTGATGCTCGCATGCTGATATTAGAGCTTTTTAACTTTTGATGTTTGCCGGTTTTGGAATCGGAATAGGTTTATTAGTAATTCAACAAACATTAAAGGTGAAAGAAGTTTGAAAATTAGCGTGTGAGTATCACATGTGAATACTCAGAGAAGTATTCTCAAGCTTTGCATAGCAGAAGACGTGCAAATTTTAAAAACTCCCAAGGTATATGTGTGTTTGCCAAAAACAAGTGAGGGTATGTAATGTAAGTGCAAATTAGGTGAAACTGGAAGGTATGAAGCGCTAATTATCCCCCATTCTTTCTGTGCTATTTCATTTCTCTAACATCTATCTCTATCTTAATTTCATCACGGCATTGTTAGATTTTTCTACCCTTGGGAAAGGTCGGTAGAACTATCTACAGCTGCGTCGCTGCTGTTGTGTTCTCGGCCTTCATCGTGTACGACACCGACAATTTGATCAAGCGTTATAAGTACGATGAGTATGTCACGGCTTCCATCTCTTTGTACTTGGACATCATTAACCTCTTCTCTGCGCTGCTGAATCTCCTCAATTCATGAGCTTTGCTAGCAAGAAAAGGAATTGCTACTAACTTGACTTCAGACTGTGAAGTCTCATTTTCTTAACACAAAACTATGGTGGCTGATTTTTAGTGTAAAAATATCATTGTAACGAATGGATGTTATAGTGTATCAAGCATGTGACTCTGAGATTGGCGACCTTCTTTGTTTTTAAAAGTCCGATAGCGTGCGTTATTTTGAATATCGGGCTCTTTCCGATTCTGAATTAGCTTTAAGTCCAAAATTTGGCCCATCAAAATTAGTTTAAGTTTTGGCAAAGTTATTTCCCAAACTCAGTACTTAAATTCGTTTTATTCCACTAAACATTTTTACCTGAAAAGATACCCAAGTTAGATTTCGGCTTGCATGGGAAGAAAATGAGGGAGAGAAGAAAGTTGGCAACTATTTGTTTATGGATTAGATGTTTTTTTCAAAATCATCAATGTGACTGATTTCATTTTTTTTTTTTTTTTTGTTACGGACAATAGTTTTCGCTTGGTTAACACAGGTAAGAAACAATGCACATGAGTATAACAGTGTTATTGCGCTGGAAATTGTACACACAAATTCATTGCTAACCATTAGGGATTACGAGAGCACACGGCTAAAATTACTGCTCTCACAAGTAGCCAAACTATCATCAAACATAAATTGCACCAGTAATCCAACGAGCAAAGAGTTCATCACGATCAAAGCACACACATAAAAAAGTTTGATATTGTCGAAAATTTTAAAAAACAGAATAAAAAAGAAATTGCAACATCTCATCAGATTGAAGGCAAAAGGGAAGAAGAAGCGATCAATTCCAAAGTTCATCCTGGCCATTCAAAGCGCTCGAACCAATTGTAAGATCAATCCTTGAAGACGGAATCAGTACAAGTAATGCACGCCCCAAAATGGAAAGTTTCAACTTTCCAGCATTAACAAAAGAACAGGTTAACTCCTTCGATTAAAAAATAAACTTATGTAGGTGGATCGATCCTTCCCCAATTCGTAAGCAAATACTGTCAAACATTTGTCTTGGCAATGCCTCAGTGCTCTTCCACCTTCTTCAAATCTTTCATGTTCGTTGTGTCCACACTGTAACAAGAACAGTCAAAAGGCAATTATCGTAAGATCTTAGATAGAAAACAGGCTGACAATTTTTTTAAAGGGCTAATTGCGGATAGACCCAAGTAGTACCATTGTTTTGAATTTATTACCCCTCTAGTTTTGTTTTTGCAAATAGGCCCCCTGAGTGAATTTTGTTGATAATTTTACCCTTAGAGAAAGGGTTTTTTTTTCATTTTTGTTTTTGTTTGTTTGTTTGTTTTTTGGGAGATTTTTGTTGTTGTTGTTGTGTGTGTGTGTGTGGGGTGGGGTGTAGGCGGGGGGGGGGGGCCGGGATAGGCCACCTTGAGGATAAAATGGGTAAAAAAAATTTACTCAAGGAGCCTATCTTTTAAAAAAACAGGGGCAGTAAGTTCAAAATACCAATACGATAAGGGTCTATCTGCAATTAACCCTAAGTTAAATGAAAGAAGAAATGGACATTTGAGGGGCAAACAAAAAAATGATAGTTACTAATGGGGAAAAGGAGACTTGGTGCAGTCTCTTTATTTCTAACAGAAATTTTGGCATGGACTTTGATCTGAATTTTGTTCGTAATGATGAAATTAACACTGCATGCTTTCACAAGGAAGAATGGAAATAAGGTGAAAATCTTCGGAAATTTGCCTTGGTCGGCCATGTTTTGGGTTTGAATGTAAAATTTAAAGTCATGGAGTCCTACGTCATAAAGTTGTGGAAAGTAAACTAATAGCATAATGGAGTCACAAACTCATTTATTGGGTCTGTTTGGAGAGAATATGGTCTTTTATTTTGGGTTTACGAGGTTGTCAGCTTTTGGACTTACAATTGCTACAGAGACCATCTTATTTATTTTACACATCATCTTCTCTACAGAAAGTATGATTGAAGAACCTTGGGTTGGTCTATTCTTGGTTGCTATGTGATTGAAATATTTTGTTGTTTTACCAACTTATGCCTGAGTTTATTATCAGGCGCATAAGCATAATGAAAATAAAAACTACAATGCAATTTCATCAAATGTCTAATGCCTATCACTTTACATAAACATCATATTTTGCAAAATTAGATAAAATTCATAAAACGTCCAATACTTCACAGTAGCTAAACTCCCAAATTCGAAGGCATGAATAGCTACTAATGCTTGGCTGCTAATATCAGAACCACTCTTACATACTAGTTATGGCACACCTTAAGATTCATTTTTACCTTATATACACAGAGTAAATGTAGCAACAACCAAATAAATTGTTAACTGACGTGCAGCAGATGCACGGATAGCATGAGAGAATCATAAAAGGTGTCTACCAAGTCTTTAAGACAGTCACAGTGTCGATATAGGAAATCCTTTCAAATTTCACAGTTCAATCTCAGCAGTTAAGGCGTTGTTCAAAATTGAAAATTTTATAGTACGTGTTAAATATTTCTTCACATCTTAAGGGATATGCAACAACAAACAATACCAATACTAATAATAAAATGTAGAACTAAGATCCTATATCAACTAAAAGCTGCATCTCTTGCAATGTGAATCGCCAAACAGCCAGACGCACCTAGAAACTTTTATGCTGAATAATATAATAAGATACACTAGGCATATAGGTGCACATAATGTTTACTGAATTATATATTGCCTAATCCACTATTATGCAGCACATACGAGGTTCACTCGAAATAAGTTGCAAGTTGAAACTGTTGCATCTCAGAAATGGTAATTTGAGTTAAAAAAAAGTTTTTATCATCCTGACAACTGATACCACTACTATGAACAGCATTAATGGGAAGTACCGAGTTATTCATACATCTCCTAAGCAGTTTATCATCTCAGATAAAGGACGATCAAGATAGGATGAAGGCAGTTGTTCAGTTTAATATAAAAGCCAACTTCAAAAGATTACCGGTTTCAATTATCACTTCATCAGATAATAAATATTTCAGTCAGCAGACTGCCAGTTCTTCATATGGATAATGAAAATGATACAAGGAATATAAAACTTTTAGAATCAGAAAATAAATATAACACACTAGTGTAGACTTAACATGTACCTATAGCAACAATAAAGAATCTTACAAGAAATTAAAGGGAGAAAAAATGATGAAGTTATTATGACTTACGTTGTTCCATAGAGGAGAATCTTCTGGACCTTTGTGATTTCATCACCACCTTGATTATCCTCAATAAAAATTGTCAAGCTGCGGTAGTTCATTGCAATAAGATAACACTGAATAGATGAGCAGTTGATACTAGACAAAAACCTAAGAAATGAACTGATAGTCTAGCTTCCAACCTGCGAACATTTTGAAACTTGACATACTTTAAAGT